ATTACTACAAATCAGGAAGTGCAGATGGCCTCTTAATAGTTAGGGATACATTGTTTCACAAAGCTCCTTTATAGTTACTTCTAGCAATGCACTAAATAGAAATGTTTTAGATCCAGTCAAACACACCCATCATGTCTTTCTTGTTTTGTTCAAAGGCTGAGAAGGTACTACTACACAAGCATTTGCTCTCTTGTTATGATAAAGAAACAGAATGAATGCCAGCCAACCAGGCAACTTCTTTGAAGAGCACATTCTTCAAGACATTGTTCAAATAGAGGTGATTTTAGGACAGAGTGAAATATCTATTTACAGAATACTGACTACTGAACTTCTTCCACAAACATAGCCAAGAGGGAAAAAACCCTATTAACCAAAATCTGTGAAAGAAACTGGCAAGCACACCCATCTGAACCCAACTCCAAAAAAGCTTTTTAAAAGTGTAACGGAGAATTAAAATATAATCTCCCCTTATCATTTTTTTTGCAAGACAAATGCACGTAAAACCAACCATTGCTGGAATTTGCACACCACTCGACTCCAGGGTACAGTGACTGAATTAAATTAATTCACCTTTGATCAATGTTATTTCTTAATACCGATGACACACTATATGGCAAATTATATTATGTGACAATACTCAAATGTGGAGGTAGATATACCATATATGTACCTGCGCACACTGACTCTTTATGGTTTTATTTATTGTAAGCTATTCTGAATTTCTTTGGAGAGGCAGGATTTAAGTGGAAAAACAACAAAAGCTGAAGGAAACCATGCAAAATGGAGAAAAAAGCAGGAACTAGGGCTATCTACCACCCCATAATGTAGGAATGGAAAAGATGCCTTCCAAATATTGTTAACTATTGTTCCCAGAAACACAACCGATGGTGGGACTTGCAGTCCTGAATTTCTGGAAAGCACTTATTTGTCAACCCTGACTCTAATGGGTCATCCTGGGAAGCCAGTGAAATACAGATTAATTACCAATTGATATTCATCATGTGGGATACCATGAACTTCAGAGCTTGTTCCCAAAAAAGTCCCCAATGCCTTCCTATTATTTTTCATGTCCTTGCTTTATTTAGTGGTGTACGAATACTACTATGCACAACATAAACGGTAGAGATATTATTGCATCCATAGTCTGAGAATGTGGGAGTGAACATGAGGAGACAGAAGGCTAGCAACCGAGTGGCCATATGACATTCCCAACACATACCAAGCAAGTGACATGAGCCATACTTATGGAGAATGAGTGGACATACATTACTGGGCCAATGAGTAGGACCAACCCAGTGCCAGACAAACCTTGTCTGCAAGGTTCATGTGACATCCATCTCAGGGTGCTAAGCTCCAGTTGCTATATTCTATCCATCAGCATTTTCATATGCCTCATAGATATAGCCATGTTAGTCTGGAATATCGGTATGCAAAGGAATCTTGTAGTACATTTGAGATGAACTCTACAAAAGCTTATGCTACAACTTCTTTCACAAGGTTAGTCTCAAAGGAGTTACAATGGGGTAGGCAACCTTTCCCCTTTAAGGGCCGAGGGACTTCAGCTCCCAGAAGCCTCAGCCATGTTGGCCAATAGTCCCATGTTGGCCAATAGCTCCTGGGATTCTGGGAGCTGAAGTCCCTTGGCCCTTAAAGGGGAAAAGTTGCCTACCCCTGGCATACTAGTATGCTTCATGTTAGAGACCAAAACAAAAGGGATGAATCTGGAATGGGGAACAGCCATGGGAGCTCTTCTAGAGACACATCTTAGTGAAAAGAGGCATACCACACAGCTTATACTTTATATTAGCCAAATTTCTACAAAAACAATAACAACAGTGGATGTCCTCATTATTATTATTTTTCACGATCCATCTTCTACTCAGCATCTTTGACATTAATAGTACAGCCAACAAGAACCTCATTACCAAATCCTGAAAAAAACTGCAGCAAAACTCACTGATAAACATACACTACTTACATACTGTGTTCATGCTGATTTAAACATACTCTTTTCTATTTTCAAGCTCTCCATCACAGTATCAGGAGCTTAGCCAGCCTACTGTGGACGAGAGCCAGATGTGGGCGAGAGCTCCAGATCGAATTAGGACACCGCATTCTGATGCAAACTGTTTAAGAGTTTAGACAATCAGTGTGTCACTATGGCAGTTAAACACACTGGATTATATTAAGTTTACAGAGTGGGAAGAAAAAGCACCTTTCTGCTTAAACTGTAATGGGATGTACAGTACATCTGTCCAAGTCAATGTGAGATTAACTTCTGATCCTCAGCATGAATCACAGAATCTTAAGTTGGAAAGGACAGCAAGAGCCATTTAGTTCAACCTCTGCCATGCAGGAACACACAACCAAAGGGCTCCTGAAAGATCCCCCTCCAACCTCTGTTTAAAGACCTGGGAAGAAGGAAGGTCCACCACTCTCTGAGGTGGCTGTAGAGGAAGGTATGAATGGAAGTAGTTGCTTTGTTAAGGCAACAGGGCACAATTAAAACAAGTACAATAGTAACCATGCAATAAAGAAAGGACTAGATTGAAATAAAGCCTCAGCATCACACAATGTCTGATTCTCTTTAGCTGTTGGCAAACTCCCAATTTTTCAAGAACACAACATCTGAACATCTTCTCCCCAGTCCCCCAGGTAAATTCATAAAGTTGCAATGATCTTTATGGTTTTCAGTTTCTGATCTCAGAATATTATGCAGCCCTACAGCAATGATTCTATCAGAGTCAACAGAATTTTACCAAGTCACCCTCTTAATTCTTGTTCCAAATCAATCGGTGAACTGATTGTTAATTACAGTTAAATTTGGCAGGTCAGCCATTTCCTCAATCAAAGCCACTTCCCAAGATTCTGTTGGGCAGTGTGCGCAAAAAACAAAACCAAGGATGGGGCTTTGTTCTCAGAAGCTTCTGGTAAATTCTAGGAAGGAAGCAAACAGGTCACAAATGTGTGGCACAGTTGAGAGGGGGATGAATCTTTCCCCCCAGTGAGGTCTCTAGGGCAGTTCTGGCTCCAAACACCAGACAGATTGTTATAAAAAGTTAGCACTTTTCATGTAAGCTCGGTTTTCACCTTTTTGTATTTCACAGCTAATAGGATGTGATCACAGGCCCTGACACCTCGCTTTACATGTTCCGACTTTCATTAACAAACCAGAACAGAATAGCTGTCTGCAAAAAAGGCAGATGTTCAGTAGTCCTTTTTTTTAATCCTAATCAAATGTATATCCCCAAACCCTTATTTACTGGACAGAGGCCAACTCACAGTGGATTTAAAACTATGGGTTTCCTCATGGGCACATGCACAAAGGTCAAAATGTCTGGGAATCAATTCACTTCAGCACATTTTTTATTGGGGGGGGGGGGGATTGGAAATGTCCTTAAAAAAAACCTCTAAAAGCAAAATCAGAAAGGTTACACCTCTCACAATTTTGAGCATCTCAATTAATGAGTTTCTGACCTGCAACATTTTAGGATAGTTTTTTCTGGTGCTATCAATTGCTTAGTTTCCCATTAATAATTATGTTCTGTTGTTGAACTATCTTCAAAAGCAGTGAGATGGAGAGGTGGGGTGAAAAAGGAAATATGTAATTAATGATCACTGTGGAAAAAAATCATCAGTTCAACTCAACCTATGACATCGAGGAAGGCTATGTCATAGGCAGACATAGATAAAAGCTGGTTATCTCAGGCTGCAGTCATATGCCTCTGCCACAAAACTATCACCTCTCATGCATGGCTTGCCCAACCCTTAGGCTTTAAAACTTCAATGGAGACAGCTCTGGGAAACTCTCACAGAGGAGGATTAGAGGGGCTAAAACTGAGGAGTTTTAATTAAAGTTTAGAAATGTACATCCCCTATAATATTTTTGATCTCAATCTCAAGCTTCAGTCTCCTGTCAAGGCCTTGGAGCAAGATTAATATCGGCTGCTACACCTGTTTGGGCGTAACACAGTCTGCTTTCATGGAGGTAATTAAAATTGCTGCAGTGGCATGCAGTGGGTGGAAAGCTTTTTCAGCAAGGTGGCAGGAAAGACTGGAGTCGAGGAGGGGATGGTCTTGTGCAGCTTACAACAAAATTTTAAAATTATCAAGCAAATATCCTTGACTAGGAACCACAACAGTGAAAACATTCAGGGGTAGCTGTGTTGGCCATTTAGCAAATTCAAACAAAAATCCATCAGATAGGAACCACAAGTGAACGTTTCTGACTAAGGGACAGATCATGGCAGACAAAGCGCACAAAATGGGATCTGATATGAACTTTCAGCTCAGCAAACCAAAATGTTTCCCAAAAAGGGAATAAATTTGCTATATCATGGACAGCTGTCAGAGGGAGGAACAAAATAAAGAGCATGGTCCACTTGATCTCTCATTTCAAAGGTGGCTCAACATATAGAGAACTACAGTAACAGTCCCAGTGTCAACTTAAGGCATGTCACTATGGCTATATGTGACCACTCCAAGAGATGGACACAGTTTGTATATCAACCTAAGCCGTTCAAAATGACTTTGGGGTATGGCCATCACCCAAGCACCCAGAGCGAACCTGAACAGAAGAGATTAGCAGACTGGAAACCTTGTTTTCCAAGAGGTCAGTTTCCCATTCCCTGGTTAGCAGTTTTATTAATCAGGAGCAATGCTCTCTTATCTGGATTAAGCATGTTTATTAGCTCCCACACAATCTGCTACTGCACTCAGACACTACTTCAGCATTTAAACAGCTTTCTTGGAACTAGATGAAAAGTAGAAATAAAGTTGAATGCTATCAACATGCAAGTGACATCACCCTCCAAAACTGGAAATGTTTCCCAGTGGTTTCATTGTTGTTGTTGTGTGCCTTCAAACCATTTCCAACTTATGGAGACCCTAAGGAGAACCCATCATGGGTTTTTCTAGGCGAGATTTTTCCAAGGTTTATCATTGCCCTCCCCTAAGGCTGACAGCATGTAACTTGCTCACAGTCACTCAGTGAGTTTTACGGCCAAGCTGGTAATCGAATCCAGGCCTTCAGAGTCATAGTCTGATGCTCAAACCACTACACCACGTTGGCTCCACAAGATGTTAAACTGGATTTGGGATAACTCAATTTCCAGTATGTCACCACAGACTAGTGGGGCCAAGAATACTTCTCTAACATCAAGTTCTGGATATGCACCTGCAGAAAGGGCACAACAAAAAAGTACCCTTAAGAAGGATAGCATGGTTGACAATAATGGAACTGACTGAACTGTCCATCAGGACCAGCAATAAAAAAAAACCCCAGTTATCAAGAGCTTTGTTCACATCTTGTAAACTTGGGGCTGTGACTTCTTTGATTGAATCAATTCATCTGATTTGTGGGTTTGTCCTTGAACCCATTTGTTGGTCTTTTTTACAGTCGATGGTAGAACTCTCTTCCCTTCCCATTTCAAATAACAACAACAACAACAACAACATCATTATTTATATCCCGCCCCTTTGAAATCAATCGGGGTGGCTAACAACAGTAAAATATAACATACAGCAATAAAATCCAGTTGATTCTCTTACAAATACACAGAATTTTATGAAACATTTGGGGAAGGTGTAATTTTAAAGTCTTATCAATTCATGTGAAAAGAAAAACAACAATCAGTTCTATAAGCCTTTCTAATGATTATAATTTTTTTTTAATTTTTATTTGTATACCGCCCTATGGCGAACCAATCCGGGCGGTGAACATAATAAAATACAATACATACAATCTATAAACACAATAATGCTGTAACAAATACTACAAATAGAATGATGCTACTATGAAGAATGGGAGGCAGTAATACAATTTCCCTTGGTCTCCTAAATTATCAACAAATATGGAACTTTTTTTCCACTGCTATGTACTCAGGATTATCAGTGACTACAAGATACTACGCAACTATCTTCATGCTTTTGATTTTGCTGCTGTCACTGGCACATTTTCATACTACAAGTTTCTTGTACTGTGAGCCTGCAAAAGCCCACAAAACAAAGTGCAGGCACCCTGCACCATGTTTTGTCACCTAAATGCTCCCCCCCCCCAAGACTAGAAACAAGTTTCAAGCCATTTTTTTTTTTTGCTTTGGCCCAATTGGAAGGAAGGCTAGTATGGTCTGCAGTAGATCACTGTTGTTGTGTGTTGTGGCTTCAAGTCATTTCTGACATGGCAACTCTAAGGTGAACCTATCATGAGGTTTTCTCAGCAATATTTGTTCAGAGGGGCTTTGGCTTTGGCTTCCTCTAAGGCTGGGAGAGTGTGACTTGCCAGAGGTCACCCAGTGGGCTTCCATGCTGAGCAGAAATTCAAGCTCCTGTATCCCAGAGTCCTAATCCAACACTCATGATAACTCCCAGTAGGTCCTGGGGTTGGGAATTGGCTTCTCAACCTTTCAAAAGTGCCAATCCCTGCTCTAAACCATGTTCTGGATTATTGTCTGAGTTAGGTCATCGGATAATTTCACATTTGTGCAAATTCCCTGAAGGTAATCTGAAGATAATGCTGCAAGTACTAAGAAAATAAATATAAAAAAGCAAAACATGTTGACATATTCTGCACATTCAAGGTTAGTTTATTTTATCAGAACTGCTTTGGACACTGGCTTCCAAAGAACACAGTTTTCTGCGAACAAAGAAATCCAAAGCAGTAAAGGAAGTTTGTCAGTTCTAAGACAAGCAAAGTCAGAGTTCCTAATCTGCAATCAGACCAAGTTCCAGACAAAAGAAAACAAATATCATAAAAATAGGAAAATGAAATGGATAGTACTGTTTGTATTAGAAAATGAAATCATAACAATATGCAAAACACATGGACTTTATTAGCTCAGTGGGATCCCAAAGAAATGGATTTAAACTCATCATCGCAGTCACCTTAAAATATATGAATAAAAATGGGTTACAGATATGGTGGTCTCACCACTGCTATGGGAAGTGTTTATCAATTTGTTCAAACAGAGAAGTTGAAGGAAACCTAAAAGCAGCACACTGCTGAAGGATAGGAAAAATCACATTTCAGATGTAAAACTTCCACAAATTTCACAACTTTCTTCTCCAGACTGTCATTCTTTCCAACCCAATTTCTGCATGAGTTCCTAAGTATTATGTATCAATTATTTTGCTGTTACTATGCTACCCATAAGTAGTAGGAAAGCTGTACAATTTCTGCCTATTTTAACCTTGTGCAAGTTGTGAGGATATTTTCTCACAGAAACTAGCACTCCTTCAAAAATAAATTTACTACTTCTGCTGCCTGCTCTGACACACTTCAGCATTCCCACCTAAACACTTTTCTGTAAACAATGAAAAACAAAGTACAGGTTCACTTACATGCTTTTAAGCATTTGCCTTACTTTCAGTTGAGTGTGTGCATTTGTGGGTTGTGCACAGGTGTAGATTACACCATTTATATACTGCTTTCCAAGGGCATAAATTAAAATGTTAGAATATTTCTCAACAGTGTCTACCATGGTTCTGGCCAGTGCCTTCAAACTCAGTTGTTTTCTCCTATAATCTTTCACTTATGCTCAGAGTTACCAAGTCACAGACTGCAATAGGTCTCTTCAGAAAGTGAACTCAGTAATAGAGGTGCATCATCTGAGAATACTCTTCCATAGGAATGGGATATGCAACAAGACAATGCTACTAGACCTTCAACAGGAGTCTCATCCCTAATGCTGTTAAGGGTATTAGATCCTTAACAATTAACAATTTTATCTGAGACTACAAGCTAAATCAACATCAGTGAAACTAAAGGAGATTTATAACATTTTACCTGTAGCCATAATCTAGCCACAACTGAATTTTGCATCCTTTGAAGTTTCTGAATAGTTTTCAAAGGCAGTCCCAAGCAGAGTGCATTGAAATAATCAATCCATGAGGTTACAAGGTTCAATGAGTTGAGAGTACTCCTAGCTTATGAAATACAGTTAATTAAAAGCACCCTGGCCACAGCTCCCATTTGATTATCTAGGAACGCAGCCAAGCTGGTTTAAAAAAAGTCCTCAGGCGGAGTCTGGCTCTTAAATAGAGTGTGATCCCTTCCAGCACAGTCGTCACTCATTCTGCAAGATCATGAAATGATCCAGCTATCATTACTCCAATCCTTTCTGCATGAAGTCACAGTTCATTCAAAATAATCTTACAATATATTTAAGAAAAACCTTACAGAACAAAACACCCATAGACATTGATCCCAGAAAGAGACAACTGCTCCAGGTTCCAAATTAAATAGTCAGGTCTCATCACCATTATCTGATAACATCTCTCTCCAAAATCTAGACAGACACAACCTCCACCCTCATACCTATATTAAATATAAGTGACAGAATGCAACTTTTGATTTACATAGATCACTTTCTATTAAAAACAGGCCAGAAATTACCCAAGGCCACCCTCTGCTTATACATGGAAATATAAGAACTGAGCAGCACAACACTGCTTGCAAATTCTGCCAAATCCTATAAGCAACATAAGGTAATTGACCAGGAAGACCACTGTAGTCCTAGTTTTACAACATCCACCAAAACAGTCTCCATCCCATAGGGAGATGTAAAACCAAACCAGAAATGATAAAAAATAGGTTTTTTAAAATCATTTCTGATTTGGTTTTACATTACAGCCATCAGCTGAAATGATGAATTATTCTGTTCATCAACCTTCTCCAAATATGCTGCTTCCAGTTAAGTCTGTACCACTGCTTATTTTAAAACAAATGGTATCTGTTTGTAGTGAAGAATTTACTATTGCACTTATCAAAGGAGCCAAAGTTTCAACACTATCCAAATTAAGTTGGGATGGGCTAGGACCTAGCAAGCAGGTAGATCTATGGACTTCTCCAAGATTCTTATCTGTGACTCTAGATAACAATCTAGGGTGCATCTACATTGTGGAAATAATGCAGTCTGACACCACTTTATTTGCTTTTGGTCCATCCTATGGAATCTTGGGATTTGTAGTTTTACAAGGTCTTTCACCTTCTTTGCTAAAGAGTACTGGTGCCTCACTAAACTACAAATTACAGAATTCTCCAAGTGGAGCTCCACTAGACATACCTGAGCAGGCACTGGTGGTGGTGAAGTAAACCTTCATCCTTCTTTTCTAACCACAGCATAGTCTTCAACTGTCTGCAGTTTGTGTTTAGTCAGATTAAGCCTATTTATGCCAAAATCTTTTGTGGTGTTTACAATAGGTTTAAAGTACTATAACTCTTAAGGAATCTCAAAATTGTTCCCAAGAAGCTGCACAAAAATTTATCAATACAAAATATTTAGGTTTGATTGAAAATTAGAGGTGTTTTTTCATAATAATGTTACTTGGTGGTGATTAGGGTATTCCAGAAAATAATCCCAATACATTTTACTGAAGGATGTCCCATGATTAATATACCCTTCAGTTAGTCACAAACTGGTAGGTGGAATTAATTTGACACGTTAATTAAATGCAGAGATGAAGCTCTTTAGTTGATCCATATGACAGTGGGCTTTGGACCACAAAGACATATGCTATAAGTCTGTTCGTAAAGGTGCCACAAAATGCTGTCATTTTTCCTGAAACAAATATAACTAACGATCTGAAATTAAATACTCTGCAAATGTTCGTGTTGACACTTGACAGAATCACAGACGAGTAACAGATTCTCCCTAGGTACATGGGTTATGTGTGCCCAATTTATCCCCTCTGGATGAGAATCTAGGAAATGACACCCACATTCAAAACTGTTGGGAAGAAAGCTTTACATGAAATCAAAGTACAACAGTGTATGCATGTGGGAGGCGAGAAGGAAAGGGAATTTGCAAGATCGAAAACATTATTGTGAAATACTTGCATGTCAGTATCTATTCCTCTGTATTCCTCTATAGTCTATAATCTTACATTCAAAATGAGAGGAAAGGTGGCTTCTATAAGATATAATGCTACACAAACATATATCTGGAGGTAATTAACTGGTTTTCAGAAAGAGAATTTATAAACACTGAAACTCACAAAAGTTAAGGAGCACCCAGTTGGGGGGACAGACATATCAATACTGCAGGATGAGAGGATGCTTGCTGGAGCATGGAA